ATCCTTGTTCTTCTTTCGAACGAAGAGAATTGGCGCACCATAAGGTGAGCTACTAGGGAAGATGCAACCCTTTTCCAACAAGTCATCGAGTTGCGCGCGAAGAACCGCAAGCTCCTCTTCGCTTATGCGATAGATGCATCTTTTCGGCGACACGGTACCGGCGTCAAGAATGATCGCATGGGAGATCGGTCGATCCGGCACCACACCGGTAGGAGACTTGAAGACGGCGGCAAACTTGTCAAGCAACCGCGCCACGCAGGTGTCCGAAGACAAGTCCGTGGGTGAGGACTCGGCCGTTGCGATGGTTCAAAGAAACACAGACCGATCTCCTCGGTCGGCTCGTAAGCTCAAGTGGACCAGAAAGCCTTGGCCGTCACAACTTGGCACCGGATCGAAGGGTGCGGAAGAGAGATGGTACACGACAACTCGGCGCCAAAGGCGATGCAAATGGTAAGTGTCCGCCGATGGAAGTTGACCGTGTGATCCGCATATGCGATCCAAGGCATCCCCAAAATAATGTCGAAGTTCGTGTCCAAGACATCAAACATGACCGGCTCGCATGCATGAGGTGCGAAATAGACTGGCACAACTTCGATGTAGCGATCAAGAAGTTGTTGCGTCCGACCGTCCACCATCTTGACCGCCGTAGAATGTGACTTCCTTCGACCTTGTGCACCAAGGCCGACCCTTCGTATAAAGGACTAGCTCATGAAATTGCAAGTCGTGCCTATCCAGCAAAGCACTGCAGGATGCTTGCCCACCTTGGATGCGGACGTAAAGGAGTCGTGCGTTGTTGTCATCGTACCGCTGAGCGCGAAACTCGCGGGCCACCTTGGTAATATATGCAAGGAGGTCCCCACCACAGCTTCATCTTCCGTGCGAAGTTGATGGTGCATAGAACGACAAATATGTGGAGATGGGTGCATAGTGCTGCGCATTGCGGTTTTGGTAAGCGGTCCGTGGAAGGGAGAGGAAGTCATGCAAAGTCTCCAGGCGACAACGGGTCCAAGACCTCAACGTTGAACTCGCATGCTGAATCCCTTGAAGAACCACTTGAAGACGATAAATTATCGCCGCTTCCAGACGGAGAAGAAACCGCACACACACGTTGTCCTTGAGCTTCAGATCCCGACAATGGAACGATTCGGGCAGCATTGCCCTCAAAAGAATGAAGAATAGGACTTACCACTTTTGCGTGTGCCTCGGAACTAAGGGAGGTCGCTCGCGAAGCAACCGGTTCTGAAGGCGTCGAGAATGCTGCCACATCACTCTCGGCGGGTCTCACTTTCCCGAAAGGGACTTTCCCTTGGCCTTTGTGGGACAGGTGACTGTTTTGTGAAGGTCGCTATTGCACCATAGACAATACCGGTATCTCGTGTGGATCTTGTAGACGCCCTCCGAAAAAATTTGGAATATTATAGCAACCTAGCTTTCCACCCGCACGGGGTACCCCACCATGCCCGGAATTACGCCTGGGGCGCCCGGTCGGGCGACCCCCCCGAGCAGGCACCCGGGGGCCTCTTGCACCAAGGCAGAAAAAGCCAAAAAAAAAAGTTATTGCCGCAGCCCTATTCCAAACGTGCCAACTTCGTCTTCAGCGGCGGCGCATTTTTTTGGGGGGTCCGGTAGGCCCCGTTTTGTAGGTTTTTAATTTTTGGGGGGATTCTGGTCGTCGTACTGCATAGATCGACGGTGCGCGCTGATACAGAATTCAAACTCGCCCCCTCCTGCACCTCCTCCCCCCCCCTGACCCACAGAAATCAACATATGTGAAAATAAAAAAAGAGGCCGGATTTGGGCATTACTCCCAAAGCGCAGCAAGGTCTGGTGGTTGGAAAAAAAAAAAAAAAATTGGAAGGTTTTTTGCATGCCCTGGGTACCCCGGGCGTGGTCCCTACCCAGGCGGGATGCCCGGGCACCGGGCGCCCCGGGAAAGCTAGATAGCAACGGAAAATTTTGAATAAAACAAAATTGAAGTTTTCAATAACTACCTACTACCCGAGAATTTCCGAAAAAAACGCAATTGCGCAAAAACGAACTGACAAATTCCGAAAAAAATAAAAAATTCGGAATGCGTGATTTCAGATTTCACGGAACACAAATTTTGTGCAGAAGAAAGAATTCTGAAAGAAAACAATTTAAACAAATTTCGGATTTGTCAAGCAGCGAGTTTTCGACTTTCAGAAAAGAGAAGCATCAAAATTTTCAGCTACTGCGCAGTTTCAGATTTTACGAAATTTTCAAAAAAACGATTCTGCACTAAAGAAAGAATTCCGAACTAAAAAAAAAAAAGGAATTGGCAGTTAGGTCCTTAATCGCGAATGGGGACTAATTAGGGTAACCTAATCAATCAATCAATCAATCAATCAATCAATCAATCAATCAATCAATCAATCGATCGACCCTCTACTTTGTGTGCTAGGTCAGGTATGTCCTGATTCGCTGGCGGTAGCTCCGATACCAACTGATACATGCTCAGTCGAGCAATGTATGGGGAGCCAAGGATCCGCAGAGTGATGAAAAGGACTCGAATAGACAATGCCATGTCAGCAAAGCATCCATGAGCAATGTACATCCAGACACATACAAAAAATGGCACAATGTAGCGCAGCGGAAGACTCAAAGATATGACCTGACTTATCAGAGACTGATGCGACATCCCATCATACAGCACACATGTGAGAGAGGGAGGAGAGACTGCATACACAGAAGAAAGGTCCCTCCTTGCACACATACATGGGGGAGATACCACGGATGAGAGATGCGGGAGAGAGGCTGATGAAGATGGAGGTGAGGGAGAAGACCCAGATCGCGATAGCGAAGTCCAAAAATAGTCTCCCTGCCGAATGTTGAATCAATGTCTGCCACAAAAATGTCGAATCAGATCCTGGGCCTCATGCCTGATGTAACCTCTGCCTGTAACCTCCCTCTCTCTCTCTCTCTCGGAAGGAGAAGAAGGAGAAGAAGGAGAAGAAGGAGAAGAAGGAGAACGGAGGGGGAAGAGATGGCGGAAGAAGAGGATGTCGTCCTACTCACTGTCTCACCTGCAGGTAACTGCCGCCATGTACCGACTGCCGCCGTGGTCCCTGTGCAGGTCGCTTGGCGTGGAGGGCAGCTATGGCGCCCAGGTAAGTACCGCCGACGCAGGTATGACCTCCTCCCCCTCTGCCTACCTACACCTCTACCTCTACCTCCAGTGTGGCGCTGTAGTGTCGCAGCGCTGCTCCAGCAGCGTGTCGCCCAAGAAGTGAGGTACTTGAACTGTGTGTCTGTCCAGCCGCGGCCCAGCTATAAGTAGCGCTGGGCCGGCTGGTCTGCCTCTGTGTGTGTGCCCAAAACGTGGCCCTACAGGGTCTGGGTCCCGACCGGACGTCCAGACCCTGTACCTGGACAGGGGAGGCCTGCCTCCTGGCGTACCTGGCCAGAGGCGCGGCCTTCGGAACTGCGGGTCCGAAACGACGCCTGAACAGACAAAAATAGGACATCAAACAAATGCATAAATAAATAAATGCTGCCTCAAATCGAATCCTGCGGCCTAAGGGCCAGCCGTGGGCCTCCAGGGCATGCGTCCGAAGGGTGTGCGGCCTGGGGGGCCCCAGCAACCATCGGGCCCCCAAAACAGGGCCCGTGTTCAGGCTCAGCATGTAACAATAGCCTTAGGAGTAGTGGTAGGTTGTGAAAAGAAAGATATGTTCCATGACATCATTGACATGGCAGAACACCAGTTAAAAGATATGTGTGCAATGAACCCAGATCGTGAAGACAGTTATCAACAATGCAAGTCCAGATGAATGTCAACAGCTGATGATTACCAATAATCAAGATTGTGTCCAGACAGAATGAGACGAGATAATCATATACAGACGAAGGAGAGAGGAGGGAGATTAGACAAAGGAGAGGAAACAAATACAATGCCCACTCCTGCTTCGGGCTCCCTCCTCCAACACCACTTCAATAATCGACAGTCTGAACGAGTATCTGAAGTAACCTCAATGTGCCACATGGCACGTCTAATTAGTCCCTCATCAGAACTGGAGCAATGTCAACATGAAGACAACGAGGTACGTATTCACGATCTCTCCACAGTCCTGATCTTCCTCTTCCTCGCAACCAGTCACCTCATGTAGACAGCGTGGACAATGCCACGTCATAAACAAGACAGGTGGCAATGCCACATCATCAATGAAGACCAAGAGCAGCGCCACATATACCAGAGGCAGCGCCACGTCAGCATGCCATGTAGACCAGAGGCAGCGCCACATCAGCATGCCACGAAGACCAGAGGCATCGCCACGTCAGCATGCCACGAAGACCAGAGGCAGCACCATATCCGCATGCCATGAAGACCATATGCAGCGCCACATCAGCATGCCATGAAGACCACAGGTGGCGCCAGATCAGCATGTCTGGCATACAATGCCAGCGTGCTGCCTCTCCCTCCTGTCGTTGTCCGCAGCCCTGATGCACAGCTAGCGTCTGGGCAGCGTCGTGCTAGCATAATGCCAGCATCAAGTCAAAGTCAAGCCAGCGTTGAACCAGCATAGCAAGACTGAATGCTGACCACCTGGAGGCCAGTCTTTAAGTAGTGTTTGTCGAGGCTCTCTGGCCTCGGGTCTCCTTCCCTCAGTCATCCAGATTGAGTCACAGCCGAAGGCCTGGATCGTACAGTTGCAGACTTTCCCCTTGGACCTTACGCTGCCTGGGTACCTGCATACAAACAGATGTGTGTCCTTGACCGGCGGCCTGGACTGGGTACCTTTGGACTCTGACTGTTGGGGTCAAGGCAGTTGACAAAAGTCAACTGTCTCACATCCAGGCCCTGAATGTTCGTGTGGGGTCTTTACCCCTGTTTTGGCCTGGGCTGAGGGCGGCCGAGTTGGCCCTCAGTCTTTCCACGAGACATATGGCATGGGGTATTGCATGTGAGGTGAGAGAAAACTATATGGCTGTCCCCCGATGAGGAGAAGGCAGCTTAAAGAAAACAAAAAAAAAAATTGTTAGACACTGGAAGTTCTCGCATCTTTCGACCTCATGAAATTGCACTTGGCCACAAACACGTAAAAAGTTTATGCATATCCAGAATCAAGTCCTTTGCATTTTTAACCTTGCCCCCCCCCC